ACGTACGAGGTATGCGGTATTTCGGTGATTCGACGATCTACGAGGTGAGTTGCTCTCTCTTCTTTTTTTTGTTTTATTGATTAATACTTAGAGGTCAACAACGGATATCCTGCTCACACAAGATTTTTTATGTGAAAAAACTCGGGAAAGGGGAAAAACCACGGGGCCTAGCCCAGTTGAAAAGGTTTCACTAGTATTTGAGTTGAGTACAGTGGGCTGACTCGTCCTTGAGGGCGATCAGATTACAAATGTCAACTGTATAGTTGAAGTCTAGTATTAAATCTGGCGTCACTTGGAAGTTGGGGCGTAAGTTAGTAGTATGACAGTGACTTGGCGGAATTCTGGTGTTAGTTGATGGTTTGGCGGATTTTAGGGCCTCAAGTGTTGGTCTGGCGGAGTTCAGACCCTTAGGTGGTGTTCTAGCGAAGTGGAGGGCCTCAGGCGGTGGTCTGACAAAGGCGAGGGCCTCAGGTGGTGTTCCAGCGAAGGCGAGGGTCTCAGGTGGAGGTCTGATGAAGGCAAGGGCCTTAGGTGGCTATCCGGTGAAGGCAAGGACCTCAAATGGTGGTCCGACGAAAGCGAGGGCCTCAGGTGGCGGTCCGGCGAAGGCGAGGGCCTCTGGTGGCTGTTCGGCGTAGGAGAGGGCTTCAGGTGAAAATCTGACGAAGGCAAGGGCCTCAGGTGGTGGTCAGGCTAAGGCGAGGGCCTCAGGTGGTGATCCGGCGATGGGGAGGGCCTCAGTTGGTGGTCCGACGAAACTCTGACGGTGGTCCGACGAAACTCTGGCTATGGTCGAGGAGAAGCTTCTTCCTTCTCTTCTCTTCTTCTCTTCTTGTTTGGATCCCCTTTCAAGAGAAATGAGGGGTCTATTTATAGATTTATGTAGTTGCATGACCCGTAAATAGGTGAGAGATCAAAGGTAAATGAGGAGTGGTTGGATGGATGACCGATGTTGAATCCCTTGATCTTGAATTGTCTGATGGACATTTGAATGTCTTGGTGATGTCGGAATTTAATGATCTTGGGCTCGTTGGATTCATTTTGTCGAGCCTCTCGATTCGACTATAAGTATGTTATGTTTGGAAATCGTTTGGTAATCCAATTTGTGGTTCGAACCTTCTAACAACACTTTTAACCCTTGATTTGGACCCGTTTGGGCTCGGATTGGGTTGAATTTGGTGTCGTTGGGTTCGTATTATCGAGACGCTCAGTTCGACTAGACGTTTGCTGAAATCGGAGTTCGGATGGTCCCAATTTAATTTCGGAAGTTTCCAACTTGATTTTGCATCAAGATTCGTGCCTGATCAAGATAATTTTTTAATGACATATCAATAACAGATGGTGTTTAATATAAAATAATTTATTTATTGATATCATTATATTAAATTTGTGCTCAAGTATTATCTTATATATTTAATATAGTACTTATGGAGTCCACAACATAAGACTGTTACCCCATTCCTCTATCAAATCATCTGTACTGGCCTTGCTAATACAACCTTAAAGTGACTGGTGAAACTTTTCGACGGTGCTTATTAACAATTATTTTAATGAATACATAATTGGATTACTACCATCAATTATCTACTAAGTTATATTTCTATACAAAGTAATGCCCTTAATGATATAGATGGTTTTATTTAAGGTTAGTAGTGTCTTTCTGCCCATATATTCTTTTTTTTTTTGGACGTTTAGATCAATTAAAACAAATTCACACACACAACACATACACAAAGACTCGAATTCAAGACCTCTTAGTTGGAAACCTAAGCTCTCAACCAACCGACCTAGGTGAGTTGTGATGCCCATATATTTAGATGTGCTTGCAGACCCGCCCATTCTTATTCCTGCTCTAGCCTAAGATTAGAATTTCATTGACACCACCAGGTGGAAGTGTTCTCATATTTTATGTCTCTGTTCTCATATTTTATGCTAAAGATGAAGGCTAAAGCAAACGAGGTGTTTCGATGTTGCATCCACAGTTGGGATCTAGATGGAGATGAATTTCTTTAGAGGCTACATTCAGAAGTCATAGTCACACACAATGACAATGTTGGAGAGTTTTTTATTGCAGCTTGATGGAAACAAGTGCAAAACTGATTTTAATAGAAAGCTGTATAGAGCATGAAAAGGAAAATGTTAAAATTATATTGTATTGCAACTGTGAAAGGTAAGATTCTTTCATGTTGAACGAGTACGACAAAATTATGCAAACTTTTTTGAGGGATAAAAGAAAGAAATTTCTCTCTAGAGATGATTGACAACAACTGCAGTGACATATTGTGCTGCTCGACACAAAGTTAGTTGCAGGCACACATTCGCTTTTTCATTAATGAAAGTGCTGGCGATTGAAATTTGTTTAAACTGTGATTTAATTGCAAACTAGTTTTTCTTTTAATAATCTTTAAATAAATATGAAATTATAGAAAATTTAATTAGCAAAAAATACACAACTTAGTTGTTGCTTCCTCTCTTCTAAACTCTAAATCAAATTAAAAAAATAAATAAATTATAATTCCCTGATGGCCCTTCCCCTAAACCTCGGTGCTATAAATAATACTGTAAGTGAATAGTATAACACAGCTCATCTTGGCTTGTTGGTTGAGAGCTTAGGCTTCTAACTAAGAGGTCTTGAGTTTAAGTACTTGTGTATGCGTTGTGTGTTTGTGAGTTTGACTTAAATGACCTAAATGTCCGAAAAAAAAAAAAATAATAGAAGTGAATTCACGAGGAGATCTGTGTTTTTGTTCTAAAAAGCAACAATATTTTGCGTTTTCTTATGAAAATGAATAATTTTTGCGTTTTAACTGGAGCAAAAAATTTCTGCTTTTTCTATTAAACCTGCTTCCATTTTATGTTTTTGCTCCTTTTTAAAATTTTGATGAATTCCTAAAAGGCCTTTTCAAAATCTGTTCAACAAAAAAGGAAATACTACTTGTGAGCTAAAAGGTCTTAGTTTTGCTTTTGATATAGAGTATAGACCGAATTTCTAACTCATCTATGAAAAAGATTTACTATTATTAAAATAAAAGAGTGATTAATCTTCAGGTAGCCAAACATCCAACAACAAAAAAACAAATAAATAAATAAAAGAGCATAATTCACTTGTTTGGCTAAAGCATCCATATTGCTGACAAACCTCCTAAAAAGATCGACGAGAACTTCTGCAAAATAGACAAGTAATCATAATAAGTAAGCCACTCAGCTCGCTTTGGTCTTTTAGGCTTCGTTTGGGGCTGTTATTTTACTACTTTTTAAAACAATTTTTTATTACAAAAAAATTAATTTTTGTTCTAAAAATTTGCTTTAAAAAACAATAAAAAAAAACTGTCCCAAACGAAGTCTTAGTTGGGGTTTTGACTACCAATCAAGAGGTCCTGTGTTCGAGTATTACGTATGCGATGTGTGTGTGAATTTATCTTAATTGACCTAAATGTCCTTAAAAAATGATAATAAATAAGCTTAAGTTCCTTAAAACATGCTGTAACCACTTCTTAAATGAATGACCCTACAAGAAAGCTTGTCTTGTCCCTTCCTCTTTCTCTCCCATTACATAGATATTAAAATATCTCCATTATTTTTAAAATTTAAAGGCCACAGTAAGTTGCATTGAGAAAATCAATATTAAATTATTTTCATCATTATCATTGCTCAGAAACATGTATCATCATCCTTGTTTTTAAACTTATCAAATTAATTGAGTTTTTAATGCTTCTTGCTTTTCTTAATCGGTTCAAAACTACTGTTAGGAGTGAGGATCAAATCGTATCATATCCTGTTCCCTCTTTAGTTGTATCAATCATTTATGGAAATCCAAAGCATCTTCTTATCAGGATAAGGTTTGCCTAGTTGTTTTTTACAAGGATATGGATCTCTTGTGTTAAAAAATATGAAGTATAGTACTATAGCAAGAAAAAGAAGTGGCATACCAATAATGATATGGAGAAAAAACAATTTGACATATGTTCGGATGTCCTCATCGTGTGCTAATCTTCTATGCAGTACGTGATGATCAATATAACTTAATGCGCCATAGCACATCAATGAAGATGTTCTATGGCAATGGGAGCAGTACATGTAACCCATGCATGGGGCTCGGATCAACTGATTCATGTTGTTTGTATCTCCCAAGTCATGGCCGCTTCTGGCATATAAAGAAAAACATGATGTAATAGGAGGTGGCACCTACGACAAATCCATATGGCTAAGAGTACTCTTGTTGTATTATACTTAGACTTCGTTTGAGACGGCTTTTTTATTGCTTTTTAAAACTGCATTCTAGCATAAAAATTAAAAATTTTGTTCTAAAAATCTGCTTTAAGAAGTATAAAAAAGCCATCCCAAATGATGCCTTAATGAAGTTGAAAAGCATCTATTTTAGAGAGAGTAATATCTCAAGTGAAAAGGTATCACATGATGGGGAGATTGTTATGTACTGTGACAGGCTTTAATTTAGAATTCGTTTGAGACAGCTTTCTTACCTCTTTTTAAAGCAGTTTTTTAGTACAGATTTTAATATTTGTTCTAAAAAGCTGCTTTAAGAAGCAGTAAAAAAGCCGCCCCAAACGATCACACCAGATAGTTGAAAAAGGCATTAGTGTAAGTGGAGCATGCATGCAGAACTCTTTCAAGTAAACTTTGTGGTATTAATTAAGAGTTTATATCTTCCCACTTTATTCTAAATGGAAATTAATCGTTTAAACAAGTCTGTCTTCCAGTTTGGAAAATTCCTTCTTTCCACCAACTAAGCATCTAATCACGTTTCACCTACTAATAGTTGTTAATTTAAATTCAGATACTTCTTCCTTCATTGGTTACAATTCAAGACATTCATTAGCTCAATACCAAGTTATTGCTAATTCTAAGCATAACAAACTATATTTTTATCACAAATAAACTTCTAAAATTATCTCAACTGATCCAAAGTTCTGGCTTCAAGCAATAACTCTTGCAATATCATACATGGTGCAGTAGCTTGCCACTTGCCAGAAGGCCCAGAACATGCTAATCTATGAAACAAAGGGCCATAAGTCTCTAGGAAAATAAGCTGCAACTTCACTGAAACTTTCTTCTCTACAGCGTCATTATTGTGAAGCCTGTGTAAACTATTATAAGGAACGGGATGTGAACTTTGTATCAGTTCAAATATATCCTCTGATCCTAGAGAATTGAGATGGTTTCAGGTTGCATTGCTGGTTGTTCAAAGTAAGGCTATTTTCATTTGCATCTTTTAATAAAGAATGATCCTTACTGTTAAAGAACTTCCTGACATTAGCTTGCCTCTCACAGCTTCCAACCTGGAAATAAATTTTAAACATCATAAAGTAGCAGAGACTGAGGAAAGCGGTTGTGAAATGGATTACAATGTCGAGTAGTTACCACATCAAACAGGCTAGACCGGCGTTTCTTATTGTTGAGGTTGTTCTTCCTCAGAAAATACTTTTGGGCATGACTGGCCACTTGGGTTGGTGTTCTTGTGGTAACAAAGTTGCGTGAGATGCCGCGCCAGTCACCTTTGCCAAGCTTATGCAGCCCGGCTAGAAATGCTCTGTGTTCTTCCTCAGTCCATGAGATTCCTAAGAACCTTAGATAATTTAAGGTTTGCAGAAAATTGATTGGCTAACTTGTAGATACTTGCATGAAGTAAAATGTGTATGCCGTGGTGGTTGTTTTGGAATATTGCAGGAGAAATCTTATCTTACTGCAATTGCCAAGGAAATGATTATATAAATAAAACAACAAAACTTTAAATTAATTTGACCCTGAATATTCTGATCCAACTTAGTAAGAGAACATGCACTACAGGAAAATCACCACTTATCGGCAGCACATTTTGGCGGTTTATATGGCTTTCCCGGCGGTTTATATGACATAGTTGGCGGTCATTTTACTTCCGGAATGTCCGGGGTGAAAACCGGCAGTCACACGGCCCGTTTAACTACAGGTAATTCCGGTGGTTCTTTGACCGCCGGTAATTGGTGATTTTCCTTATAGTGATGGCTGTTGCTCACCATGTGTCATAAACCTCTCATCTTGATGAGATTTTCTTAATCCTTTTAAGGAATTGGGGATTGGTGGATGAGGAAATGAGGTGAGCTACGAATATTTTATCATCTAATATCCTGGCCCAATGTTTACCAATTTAGCTTGGTCAGACTTAAAGGGAATATTTAAGCCCATGATTATATGAGCCAAACTAAAATAAGGTCATGCTCGTAACCTGCACTGTGTTTATTCACCTTCCATCATTTAGTCCCTTATTGGAAAACTTCGAAGTTTATAACGAGACAAGCATACTTGATGACGATATGCTGCTATATTCTCGCATTTAGTTGGAGGAGTTTGTTCAAATTTTTATTTCTTTAATAAACTTTAATTGAAGGGAATAAAATATGGTAATTATATAAGCAAGAACAAGGAAAATTTGTCAAAATGGTTGTCAGATGAACTTCTGAAACCACCACACAGACCAACATAGGCATAAATGTTGGGGAGGAAAATCCTGATTAAAAGAGCATCTATAAACAAATATCCAACAAATTGGAGCTTATAGGATAAACAATTTGTTCTATATAATAAGGCACAAGCTTCTTAATTTCATTATAGGAATCCTTCGGTTCATAAACAAATTATTAGCAAGATCTTACCTTTCTTCCTTTCTTGTGTTCTGAGACAATCAGATAGATATCCAGTGGACACCTTTTGAGCAGCTTCATCGATGCAAACCAGTGAAGTTGAGGATGATGAGGAGGAAGGAGAATGGGAAGAGTTGTAGCAAGTGGTAGACAAGCAATCCAGGCTAAAGCTCCTCTTCAAATGTGAAGAAGAAGAAGAAGAAGAAGAAGCTATTTGAAGCTGAACTCCGAACAATCTCAGCCCTCCACCATACTTACTGCTCGAACTACTGCAAGTCCTTGAGTTGTGCCCATTGTTCCCACAATGAGAACACTTTCTTACCATCGTCTTATCACCTCTTACCGCTTCTTAATCACGTCTGGAGAGTCATGGATAAATATGATGGAAGGCTTAAGGTATTATGTTGAGCTCAATTTGAATATAGTTTAGCAATTGTAAGCCAATTGAAATCTTATGAATGGTTATGAGGGGTTTTATAAGTGAAATACATCGCATGGTAGCTGGTGTTTGTGCATGTGACAACGCGTTTTTTTTTTTTTTTAATATTCGAAAACAAATTAGTAAGGATGGTTAGTCAGTATCTCCCATTGACTCCTAATTTCCCACATTCATATTGATTTGAAGATATTTTTTCCCCTTTTTGAAGTTGGGATGAGATATTAGTGTAGCTCTCAAAATCGAGAAAGCAATTTCTCTTGAGAAGAATGCTATGACACAAGACATAAAGTAATTGGAGAAATATGTCTTCTATTCAATATCTAGTATCTTATTACAGTGCTGTATTTATAGACATTACATATCAATGATAGCAGTACAAGCGTGAGCAAGGTTTCTTCAAAAAGTTATTAAAAATTAATTTTAAATCCAAAAATGCATAAAATATATAAAAATTTTGAAAATTCAAAATCCTTTAAATTAAAATTAAAAGTATTTTAAAATATTATATATATTTTAAATAATTTCAGAACTTTAAATATTTGAAAATTTAATTAATATTTAGTTCAATATTAATTTAAATATTTTCAAAAATACAAATTTATATATATATATATATATATATATATATAATGCTTGAGTGCTTTGAGTGAGGTCTTGAAATTTTAAACATTTAATGAGCTTGATTGAATTTAATTAATGGAGAGATTATTAGTGAACAATCATCCTTGATTGTTCATTAATCTATTTATAATTTTTTTTTGTTATTTTTAATCTTTGCAAGTGTAGGATACACAGACTCACTTAGTTTTAGTCTCTCTTAAATCATGGATTTGATTGTGATTGTGTGCTACATTTGTGTATGTTGTCAAGGGTCAGTGATATTGATTTACGCCTATTCAATTTAGTGAGATCATAAGGATAAAAATAAAAGTTTTGTTTAGATAACTTAGTAAACTTTTAGAAATTTAAATATAGGTTCTATAGGCTTAAAAATTAATCCACTTAAATATAGTGACATCCTCTATGTTAGGAAAAATGTTCTCTAATTTAAAAAAATCATTAAGTCACTTAATTAATTACTCAAAATTAAGCCTTTAATTAAGCTTTAAAACTTCTAAAAACTATAAATTCAAATTAAATAAAAAAAAATAAAAATAATATCTCAAATTAACTAGAATAAAACCCTTAAATTAAGAAAATTAAAATCCCCTTAATTATTATCTGACATAATTATATCTTATATTTTAAAATTCTCTTATGTTACAAAATACATTTTAAAAATCCCAAAAAATACACTCATAAAATTAGGGGCATTTTAAATATTTATTCGGGTCGACATCACATTGCGTGCCTAAATCGCTGAATAAATATTTAAAATCCCAAAATAAAAAATCCTTCTGAAATTTCTCTATGAGATAGGAGGCATTTTAAATATTTATTTGGGTCGACATTATGCCGCATGCAAAAATCCTCAAATAAATATTTAAAACCACAAAATGTTAAATTCAACCCATCTAAAATCTCCTTGCAAGATAGGAGGCATTTCAAATATTTATTTTGGATCGACATCATGCTTCACACTGAGATTCCCAAATAAAATTTTAAAATCATCAAAACAAATATTTTTTCAAGAAGAAGGATATGATGACTTCTTCTTCAAAGTATATGCTGCTGATTCCCCAAAAAGATCAGGACATCTCCTTCTCGAACGTACCATGATTTCAAAGGTAAAAAAAAAAAGATTTTCATGAAAACACACTCCGACAAGTTGAGCCAAAGAAGCTTAAAGTCTTTCGATTGCCTGAAGCTTAAGGTTCAAATGGGTGTAAGGGACCAAAATTCAACATACTCAAATATGGTCGAATCACTGTCAGCTCTGTGTACTTAATAATCTATAAGAAATGCCTTAGTAGCAGAACCCCTATTTCATTAACTCGTAAGTAGGGACTTTTAGAAACACAAATGCTTATTTGACACATACGTAAAAAGTGGTCGTAGTATGGGAAATTTTGCTAATTGACCAGAGAGTCAAGATCATAATGGAGAGAAGTGTATTCCTCCAAATAGAAGAATATGATATCCTCATCAAGATGTTCTCAAAAAATTTTGAGATATCACCTTACATAACATGCTGAGACTTTAAAACTTAAAAAGGGAGATTTTCATGACTACAGACTCTAGCAAGTATAGCTGGAGTAGCTTAAAGTCTTTCAATAGCCTGAAGCTTAATGTTTGAATAGTTGTAAGAGGTCGAATTAAACAAACCCAAATATGGCTGAATCACTGGCAGATTTGTTTACTTATCAAGCCATAAGAAAGGCTGTAATAGCAAAACCCCCACTTTATCAACCCATCAGTAAAGGATGCTAGAAACCCAAATACTTATTTGACTCAATAAGTAAAAGTGGTCATAGTCTGAGAAATTCTCCTAAGTGACTAGAGAGTAAAAGTTATAATGGGAAGAACGAGTCTCGATCAATAACTATCGATCAGTTAAGGGTCAAAGTATTACCAACATTCAATACTGTTAATCAAACTTGAAACATGCAAATCCTTCAATAAGTTTGTAGAGCATCAAGTGAGGATTGAAGAAATTTTTCTTCAACAAGTCCACCAAAATATAAATCATAGATCGAAGATATTATCCTAATATTCATGAAAAACTTAAAGTTCAATTAAGAGGATTTCATCACCAAAAAGTCTGTTATGCCCAAAGCTCTAAACCAATGACTCCTCTCCACTAACCTGCTATAAACCTAAAGGAATTAGGACTCTGTCATATACTCCTTAAGCCCACTAAAGCAAAAAGCATAGGATAGAAGGTACACAAATATCTTGACAAGTTAGTAATGAAAAATTAGGTAATCCTTTACCAATGTCTGCTGCACAAAGAACAGGGAAGAAGAAACCAAAGCCTCAAAACTCTAATCAAAATTATGGAAAGAGCGCGACTAGAACTCCAATGCATATCTAAAGACATTAACACAACAACCACAGAAGTCACAAGAGCAGTAAAAAGAGAGCTCATCAACAACTAAATTTATTAAATTACATTATTTTTTAAATTCATAATCTATATACAAGTTTAAAATCTTTATCCTTTTACAAGCTTGCATCAATACAAAAAAGTGAGTACAATGTCCTTCTCAAAGGATTAAAATCTATCTCCTAAAGCAATGCATGAACTGGAAGTTGATAGCTCAGTTTTGCTATTTCAAAGACCATGCACTATGCATTTTTGGGACCTACACAAAGCAACAAAAACTTTAACCTAAAGGAAAAAAAATTATGCAAATGTATGTAAAACTACTAAAAGAAAAGTGTACCTTAACCAAGGTCTCCAATAGTAGCTCACAAACTAGTATCTTACTCCTCCTGAAACCTGTGTAGGGCAATAATAGAATCACTAAATAGCTAAAGAAAAAAAAAAGGAAAGATGCACAAACTAACAAAGTAAAAGCATTGATAAGTTGAAGGCAACTATAGAAACCTGAAGCAGTAAAAGACTTGTTGACTGAAGAATCTGCAAAGCTAGAGCAAATTTTGAACAACACCGACAATTATAAACTAGAAATATTACATACACACATGATTACAACAAAGAAAGATATTGAGCAGTTATGAAAATGCCATAAACTAAGGTGATGATGGTGTAAAAAAAGAACAAATGGGGGTGATATTATTCGCTAGCATCAATCTACATAGTAATGCTATATTGACCTTAATACGAAGTGCTAAATCACTATCATATGTGTCCTTATTTGACTGAAGCTGACATGCCAACTACCTATGGATAAATTAAAATATCTATACATAAATAAAACTAGCGTGACATCTAAGCAAGCCTTAGGAGATATACAAAATGAGAATCTTAGTGTGGCATCCAGATCAAATATATAAATATCCACAAGGTTGATCAACATATAACATGGTTCTCTTTAGACATATACCACATTTATGGGATGGGGGGGGGGGGGGGGCAAATTTTTTAACCTTTTATAAAAACAAATTTGTTAACCTTTATATAAATAATAAAAAAGAGAAGAAATAAGAAATCCCGCATACATACCTTGTACCCGCTATGTTACTGGAATCCTGCTATTTTTTCATTGAAATTCTCTGAAACCCCATAAACCTGATATCACTATCGTCTCTATAAAAATCCCAAAATTTTTTAGTAAAACCCATGACACCAGCCCCAATTACACTCCTATTCATTGATTTAAAAGGAGAATGAAACAAATCTTCATTCATTTTTTCACACCCAAGCAAGCTTCCTCCAAACATAACCTCCAACTGAAGACCTATGATCATATAACCAATTATTTGGGGTGGAAAAAGTTTAAAGAGGGGGTTTTGAAAAATCTAGTTTTCTTTGGGAAATTTGATTTAGGATTTCAGTCTCAAAATTGAACAAGTCATTATGAATGATATATCACCCTAGAAAGCAAAGATATCATTCCTTACTAGATTCAAATTATGAAGCTAAAACTTTCAACTTGATTATAATAGTTAAATTTTAGGAAGAACTACGTAGACTCCCAAAGGGTCAAAATGATGTTCTAACTGAACTTAACTATAATAACCTAGATGAAAGATTATTATCTTCATATTTAAAGTCATAATAATAGTTAATATGACCCACCGAGGCAAAAGATATCACATATTATCGATCGATCAAATAAGAAAATAATAGTCATCTTTTGATTTAATTTTTCTCAAAGAAGACTAGTTGAGTTTTCAAAATTAATTTTAAAAAGTAGATGTGGTTCTAAATCTCCTATGAGTGCCATCCCTCATAGTTAATTACATCATAGGCAGCTTGGATTCCCTATAAATACTCTTAATTAAAATAATGACTAAAATTTTGTTTAGATATTTTAAAGAGTGGATATCAAAAGGAGGTGAAATTGGAATTTGAATGGGAAATGGATCAAGTTAAAAAACTTATTTCCAGAGTTAAAGAAGGATAAGTAGGAGGCACTTCGAGATACAAAAATTGTTCAGAAGCACCTCAACCTAATCTTGATAAATTTTAGATTGAGAGGATCTTCAATTTGAGTTGAGTAATTTATTAGAATTTTAGCATTATATTCCTAGAGGTTGGGGTCCTAATATTGAGAACCTACCCCAGATCCTAAATCTATTTTATGAACTAGATGATAGTGACTTGAACCTAACTAATGTGATGAAAAACCTAGATTACCTCGATCTGGATTGGGGAGCCAGCTAATCACCTAGCCGATTAAAATCCAT